TCACTTCGTGAACTCGGCAACCAGGTTACCGTTTTTTTTTTTCCTCTGTTTTTTTTGGGGGGGCGGTAACCACAATGGTGGTCGAGTAGATCATGCTGTGCGGGGTGGAGAAGCCTCACTCCGCGCAAGGGGGATGATCGCACCACGTTGTGTTAACATGGTCAAGCACCCTCGAGGAGGTTACACAGTGCTTACAACTGTCTCTGGAAGTGAAAGCACCAGAAAATAAATTAAGTCATAAGCAGCTGTCATCCGTACGCAAGGAAGTAAGCACAAGATGCCGAACACCCTTACCAGGATGCAGCGCACCATTCATGCGACTCGCCGAATATCTCACGGCGCTTCGCGCTTGGTGATGTGAGAGCCTGGTCCGGTGAGAACCCGGCGTGCTCCGTCTCGGCTTTGTAGGGATGCAAGGTCAATGGTCTAACGACTACGGCATGCACGACTATGAGTACACCCTCCCCCCCCCTCTCTCTCCCCTTTGTCTGTCTGTCTATTTCTCTCTCCGGGCGATCGCTCGATCGCATCGGGTGCACCCCAGCAAGCGCTTCGAGCAACCAGCAAGGCCTCCACGAGGTTCAAATCGAGAAACAGGATGGGCAGCGGGGCACGACTGTCTACCTTGAGACGTACTTCTGGTAGCGTTCAAGACAACACCAACTTCGGTGGAGCTGCGGGAGGGGTGTCGTCTTGGGGTGCCGTGAGGGGAAGCGATGCAGGAATCGGAGGTGGCGGTGGCAGTGCCACCGGCAGCGGCGTTAGCGGGGTGGATCCATCACCGGCTGCATCCCCTTCCCCCCCGCCCGCTGCTGCGCCGGCCGCTGCACCGAGCGGTGACCGTGATCGTGCCCGCGGTGGCGGTGGTCGTGAAGCACCGTTCTCAGGGGGGATGCTTGGCGTTGACGACGACAGTAGTAAGGTTGGCGAGAGCGGCGATGGCAGCAAGCGTGCCCGTGAGGGCAGCTGTGGTGGTGAAGATGATGGTTCTGGTGGTGGTCGGAAGCGGCCGGCGGCAGCGATGGAGCCTGGGTCGGAGGATGTGGGGGAGCCGCCCCTGCAGTCGAGAAGGTATGCAGAGGATTGTGCGATCACCGTAGGCGTAGCCTTTGACGTGGAAAAACTGTTGTCGTGTATATACAAGGTCAGTCCAGTCCCGCCTCGGTTCCGAAGGGGGAGACACGGTACGTTTCCACCCTTCCCATGTGCGTTATTCGTGAATACCCGTGGCTTGCAGTGCGACTCGTTGTGCGGTGTTTAGGGAGGGATTCCTACGCTTCTGCCCACTTTTGGGGATTAGCTGCAAATGAAACACACCTGAAAGTGACTGATCACATTTTTTTGCGAAATGTAGTTTTCGGAAGTGCATTCAGAGTTTGGGTGTTAGGAAGAAGGGTGCCCCGGGGGTTAACACTAGACTATGCCATGCATGGGATGTACTACATCAGTTACTCTTTCTTCGGTCGTGAGAAAACAAAATTTCACGCCAACAGTCTTGACCGGTGTAGGATAGAGATTCCTGCCCTCTTAGAGCCTTGCACGAATGTTTGCACACACACACGACCGTTGCATCCCCTCCTGCTGATAGCCAATGCCCAACACAGGTACATGAAGTGTTTAAAAGATACCCAAGTATTACGAGTTTCTTTCTTCTGTTTTCTGGAGAGGAGTGGAGAGGAGAGGAGAGGCAGAAAGTTGCTGCTCCGCACTCCGCCCCGGGTGATACTCGCATACACACGTGGTCGTAGATCCAACAGAAGATGAGTAATCGTCCCATCCCCCCGCGCGCCCAACATCGGCAGGATTTCTCCCGGGGAGAAGCCGTCGCAATCGCAACCAAAGGGCAATGGCGGCCAGGAGGAACCCGCACCATCCTCCGGTGTTAGCCCATGGCAATCGACGACCCCCGATTGTCCTCATCTAGCTCGGGAGGGTGAGAGTGAGGGCGACGATAACGGAAAGGGTAAAGGTGGTAGCAGCCAGGACGTGTCAAGTTCGTCTTCGCTCTCGCAAGCACCGGAGCAGCGGAAGGAGGTGGAGTCGGCAGTGATTGTTGCTGTCGGCGCGAAGAAGCGCGTGGGGGTGGGCGGGGCCGCAGGCGATTCAGCGACCGTTGTCGGGGATGGTGATGGGGGTAGGTGCAGCGCAGGGGCCGCCACGGGGGCAAAGGCGGCCGCGGTGCAGCAGCCATGGGGTGTGTGTGATAGATAGGACATGCCCGTTCTTGTGGAATGGTAGGAGTGTTAGAGCGAGGCTGGGCTGTTGCGTTTTGTAAGAACGAGGCAAATGGGCCTTTGCCTACGCTGGCCTCCGTTGTCGTTTCTTGGGGCGGCGGCGGTGGCTGCGATTAGCTTCCGGTGTTGCTTGCTTGCAGGAGCGTGTTGTTCTGTCTTTGTGCATACATTGGTGTCTCGTTTTAATTATTTTATCCGGTGCGTGTTGGTTGTAGTCTTGCGTGTGAGTAGTTTTTTGGTGGAAGTACACAAAAGGAATACCAGCAGGCGGACCCGAAAGCGTTTTATATTTTTTATTCTTCTGTTCGGTGAAATGTTTCTCTGCATGCATCGTGTTTCTCTTGTAGAAAAGAGAGCACGATAGGCAGTGGGCACAAGGGATCCGCTTGTCCTGCGTGGTCTGTTGGTTCTCGGGGTCTCCTCTCATTCCGATGCGTTGTAGACAGTCGAAGGATGTAGTCAGCCTGCACAGCAATTGCACATACACGCGCGTTTAGTTTGTGCTTGTGTCTGCCAACCGAGCGCCTGCTGTGTTGTACAGTCCGTTTTATTGTGTGGATCGAAAAGGAAGGTGCGGAAACGGCATCCACGGTGTTCTTTTCGGCGTATTTGCGAACCTCTGTCGGATGGAAGGTTTCAGGCTGTTTTGCTTGTCAGCGAGGAGCCTGCCCGTTAGGGGGTGGGGTAGAAGTGCCCTCTCCCAGCGAGATTTTGTTTGTTTTGTTTCAATATGTTTGGTACACATGCATGTTTTTTATGTTTCTATTTGTTGTTTTTGTTGTGGGGTTTGATTCGAGTGCCTAGGTGAAGGCACAAGACAGCGAATCGAGTGCGTGTTTCCCTTGATGTTCACACAAAGGATCAGCAGTAGAGCGAACAGTCAATGGCGTAGGATTTGGCGAGCGCTCTCTCTCTACATATGCTGGCTTTGTTTCTCCATTTTTTTTACAACGACCATCCAGTGCTTGCAGTTCGTTTGGTTGAGGTTGCGATTGTTCGGTTTCTCGGAGCCTTGGTTTGCGCCGGGAAACTTGTTCGAACGTTACCTTGCATGCCCCACATGAGGCACGAAAGAAGATGTTGTTTCTTGCGAGACAAGGTGTGTATCGTTGTAGTCTATGCTGTTGTTCCGGATACATGCGATACATGGGTGGTCGTGTGGGATCCAGTCTGTGCCGAGACCTGTCAGGATTGAGTTGCTGTAGCCTTTTCCCTTCTTGATGGTGACCGCGACGAATGAGACGTTGTAACGCTTTCTAGAAGAGCTATGGTAAATAGCGGTACTGTTACTGTCGCACGTCGTTGGTCTAGCGTCTCTCTGCACAGTTGTGTACTAATAGCTGTTGTACTGTTTTCTTGAATCGTCAAAGTAATGTGCCGTTTTTTTTGGTGCAAACGACGTTTATTTCTGTTACGAGACTACTGCTGTAGGCGCCGGACTTCCTAGTAGCGAAATGGAAAATGCACCAATCACTCATGAAGAGCAAGAAGCGTTGTGATTGGCCGGTGTGTGACATCAGCCACGGAAAAGGGAGGAACTTGCTTTATTTTTATTATTTCCCCGTTGTTGTGCGATTTCACGCACAAGATAGGTTGACAAAAGTAATAGGGTTGACCGGCATTCGCCTGGCCGCGTTCGTTTGTCGTCTAGAACAAGCTCAGTGGAATATCAGCTCGACATGTTCAAGTCTACAGGTGTCTCCTTTGTTCTTGGAAGTATGCTGCAGGTATGCATTACATCAAAGAATGGCTATGATATACCGGAGGCCCTACGTTGACGTCTACACTACCCTTGGAGTGAAACATATCGAGACAAAATACTGATCAACACGACACGCGCTTCCTTCCCCCCGGTTTATTCTCTCTGTTCCCTTAAGGGGATGAACCTCCACAAAAGTACTGCAATGCACGTGTGTATTTGTGTACAACACTTGACCTGTGTGGCTGTCCTCGAGAGCGGTCAAACAACGGAAACAGCCTACTTGGCTGTGTCCTACAGCAGGAAGTAGCCTAGAATGGTGCGTCTTGTGTCTCTTTAATTGGACAAGCACATGACAACACAGAAAGACTATCCGTTCGAGATAATACCAAAGTCGAACCGGATGTGTTGAAATCTTTTCAATAATACTGGTGAGTGAGGTGGAGGGTAGAATAGTAGTCTAGTCTATAGTTGCGCTGGTACTGGTTTTTGCGGGTGGGCGGACAGTTTATATGTGCACGCACGCAGAAGTTTCTGTTCGGTCTTCCTTCGATTTCAAAGTGCAGTAGTCAATCCTTTGTCCAGTGCCTCTTTCCTCTCTCTCCTCAACACGAAAGCACGCATTTCGTTCTCAATTGTACGTGTGGCAGACACGGGCGTTGTAGTTTTCTTTCGTGAAGTATTCACATTTTCTAGCTAGACGCCTCCATAGTGTTTGACAGATGCGGACCGATGAAGGTATTGGATAGGGAGATCGGAAGGCTTTTTAAAATGAAGACGACAACAATAAACACTGGCCCAGTCCCGATTTTTATTTTATTTTATTTCCTACCTTACGTTGAGTCTCCGATTCATTACAGTTTCATTCCTTGTTTCATCCTGATTGCACCGCTTGTTGCTCTCGGCGACATAAGAAATGCTTGTTCCACCGCACGTTGCTCCCTGCGAGATGCGAGATGCGAATGCCTGGTGTGTTTGCTTGAGGGGTCGGGGTCTGCAAAGACATTTACGCTGGAACTTGACTTCTATGCTCGCACTATGATAAGGAGAAGCACCAGGCGATACCAGAAAACCACAGGTAATGCCTGTTAGGGGTACATCTGGGGGACACTGACTAAAATGTAGATACAGCTTTAGTGCCATGCTGTCGTACAGTAGTGTAGACTGACTCATCAAGACACGCCGAGCCCTATGGTTCCAGTCCATCGGTTTGTCAGAAAAGAGAGGCAGGTGAGGTTCTACGGCACCCATGTCTACATGCAATGGTCCCACAATGCGAAGTTGAAAACAACACGTGGACATGCATGCACAGCGAGAAAGAAAAATGAGCACGCCGCACAATACATCCCTGCACAAAGGAGGGATCGGCACCATACATGCACTCCGTCGAGAGGTGTCACGCGGATAGCGCAGCAGGACGGGTGGGAGATGAACCCTTCTACCACGTATTGGAACTCCATGATAGAAATGCCGTGAGCGCTGGTTACTACAGCAGCAGTATGCATACGAACGTATGCTACAAATGCACATCAGTACTAACTCCGGAGTAGCACACTGTATATACTCCGGAGTATGTAGTAGTACTACTGTAATTCTTGCTTGAACAGGCCAACCTTCAGAACAAGCCAAATCGGAAATTGGAAAGACGCCTACAGAGCGATGGAAATCCCATGTGTCGGAAAAGGAAGTAAGTTTACCACGCCCTGTATTGTAAATCTGCTTCTAATAACTCATAGCTAGCTACATCATGGCTCGGGTAAATACAACATTGAATAGTGAAAGCGAAGCTGGAGAAAACATGAAAATATGGCTACTCGTACCCCAGAATGGACACGTCGTTGGGTTTTTCCGCCGACCAGGCGATGCGCTCATTTTCTCGTCGACGCCGTGGACAGTCTACCGTCGTGATCCGAGTGAATGAAAAAGCGGCAGAGAGTTGCAGTTTCGTCCCTTTGAAACCCATTTCCATGCTGAAGGGGGCGTCGAGACATCTTCCCTCAGTACTTGTCACCCATCTCACTGAACCAGCACAAACAGAGAGCTTGCCAACGCTTACACGGCGTGCGTGTACCATTACAACGTTCTTTGAAATGTACCGCTCAAGAACACCCTAACCGGGAATTGCCCAACCCCTTGCGTGTTGAATGCCCACGGCAGACTAACTTCCGCGGCTGGTGGGGTGTTGGCATGGCGCGATGCCCCTCGCGAATATCGAGGTACCTCCAAGCGGTTCAGGACGCAACAAGATTGCTCCGGTGGAAACAGATCAACCGCCGATCGAGACACAAGCGGCACCAAGAGAAGGACCAGCGGCGAGGCAGAATCTAGCAGGAACACTAGCAACAGGCGAAGAGTCAGCTAGGACGGGAGGTAACGGCCGTGCATGTTTTTCAGGAATATTCGCACGGGTGGTGCTGAGCAAATCGGCCGCAGTCGCGGCTTGCGGCAGGGAAAGCTGCGAGGTCGTCGGCTAAGGAAGATGAAGTCACCGGTGAAAAGGAAACCGAGCAGTTGCACCACAGGAAGTTGCCGAATTACTCATCTGCAAGGATGTACTGTACAGATGTGTAGCTGCCCTTTCGCAATCTTGTGCTCTGTTGCGCGCTGGATATTCAGGGACCCGTGTCTATTGAAAAGGGATCAGAACCCCGGTAGTCACAAACAGATGCGGCTTGTCTACGCCACTATAAGCTCCTCATTGTAGACACGTTTCATTGTAACAATCGGGGCAACTATGCGTTCAGTGGAACCTAAAAGGGTGAGCTGATTGGCCTAATTAACTTCCATCGGCGCGCGTCGGCCGCGACAACGACCAGTTATGATTGAGAACACCGAACCCAACATGCGAAAGATAGCGAACCCCCCACACGACGTACCACCATTGGTGGTGCTTTTGAGTGAAGTCGAATCGTCTCTTGCCTTGAGTTGGTAAACACCTCGAACAAGCAGTAGCGATGTCTTGCTGATCCCGACACCACCGTCGGCACCGCTGCCGCGGCGACGTCGCTATTCCCACCACCACCCCGCCCAACCCGATCGGGGCTTTGACGCTGGTGAAACATCTCGTCCTGGTGTGTCCTGCCTGGCGCCGTCGAATGACCAGACGTCGTTGGCAGGTGAGAAGATTGGCAGACAAAGAACGAAAAAAAGGCTATGATGCTACGTTCCCAAACCTGGTGTCGTTGTTGTTATTCCGTCGTCGTTGGTGATGGTGGTGGTGGTGGTGCCGGCCTTGTTTTCATACTCGAATCGTCTGGGCAAATGAGCGGCAACATCGAAAAGGTAGCAGCCCCATGCGGCCAAATTAAAGTTGTTTCGCGGAACGATTGCTGGCGGTCAACTTGTATACGTTCCAAGGGCCTAGCATCGATTTGAGATGCAGACCTCAAAATGCCAAACTATTGTACTTTGTCCCCAACAACGGACAGCGTGCCATGGTTTCGTAGCCTTCAACTTTTCTGCGTCTGCTCCCTACTCGCGTCCGTTCTTTTGCACTCTTTTCTGTTGCGAAGAGCGCAAGAAACGAGCTACGGCAACGAGCAGCAGCCCGTCGACCAAGCACCAGGAAGCGAGCTTTCGAACGCATTCTCCGTGGCCTCGAGTCCGCCGAGGAGCACTTCAGAGGCATCACCGAGTGAAGAAGGTGATATTGCGTGGGAGTCCTACAGCGTGGTTGCTTTCTGTACGTCTTTCGGCGAATCTATCGAAAGGAAAAATGTCCGTGATCTTCTGAAGAGCACCAGCAAGAGTGTTCGAGGGGTAGCAACAGCACCAACACGCCTAGGTGTCGTTCTATCGTTGACTCTAGCGCCAGTATCAAGGTCTGAAGCAAGATGCCTTGCTACTGTTTTTGGAAAGATAGTGACGCCGGCCGTTCTATCTGGTGCGCCTGATTTCAACAATGCCAATCAAAACGGTGCCCAGCTGGCGTACCGAGAGCATGTCGCTTTGGCAACACCGGTGCAGTTTAGAGCTCTTAGAAGTCCCAGCATGTATACCACCAACACACCAGCCCTTCTCAGAGGCACTGGCGTACTACAGAACGGCATAATTGATATTGACTGCGTCACGCGGTTTCGCAGGCACTTCGCGGGGTACGGACAATGCTCAACCAGAAATGTCCCCCAGCAATATCGAGCGATGCGATCAAGCACGGACCAACACCACCTGCCGCTTGTCTAAAATTGTGGTTGCCATTTCTCCTGCTGCTGTTGCTGCTCTTGTTTGCCTCGGTGTCCAGAGTACTACACCCACCAGCTGAACGTGGCAGTTACACCGGACGGAAAGATAATGTGAGACACTTGGCCCCCCCCTTGGCATCACACCCGACGACCCGTGGACTTGAGGGGAAAGACTCCTCAGTGCTACAGATATACATCCTTGGGGTGGGCACTGTAGTGACAGATTTTCCCGGAACGTTCGGCACTCCATCTGAAAATGTCGAACCTCATACTGTAGCATGGTGCCTGAGATGTCACGGGCGGCCCCGCTGGGTCGATCAGGGCCCCTTATTACGATCCTCCCATGCTATTCCACTCAGTTCATACCGCAGACTGCACGTCGAGCTAAGGCTCTTGTCAACAGCAGCACCACAAATTGGTGCTATCGGTCAAGCCCTACGTCGGTGGAGCATTTGTTCCGTGTTCCTTCGTACAGTTATGTCTCTCGGCAGGGAGCCCCAGACCAGCCGACGTCCCCCCCATCGCATGTGAGCCCGGAGTCATGCTTAGGGCTCTTCTTGAGTAGCTGTCAACGCACAACAACAATCGGGCAGCGAATGAACAGGCACGAATGGATGCGACCTTTTGTTCCAAACCCACTGATCGAATAACATTTCTCTCTCTCCTTTGGGGAAACTCGGCAGCACGGGGAAATGCTTGACTTACGAGGACGGCCGGGGCGGGATCCTCGCCAGCAACTTGTTCGAGGAACAACTCCACTACTCCGCGGCCAATCCGAGCGTGAGTGGCTCGAGCATGCAAGAGGAAAAAGCGATATTTTATCTTTTGTAGTACCTGCCTTCAGGCTCTTGTTCTGTTCTTGTTGGAGTTTTGCCACCCCAGGTAGACAAGGGTTACGGATGGCCGAGAGCGACGGCAATGATCCGCTCTTTAGCATAGGTTAAATGCCGCGTGATACGATATTTTTTTCCAACTCCCACCACTATACTCACTTCCGTATCCGTTCCCTGGTGATCTTGTGCAACATGCATGTGCCATTGCTTGGGAGGACATGCGTCGATGCAAAGAATAAGCGTGGTGTTTGTAACTAGTCTCCGTCGCGATGTACCTGGTGCTATCTATCCCACGTCCGAATGAGTTCGTTCTGTTGAAACTGTATTTTCGACGCTCCGCGGTCGAACCTCAGATTGGACCAGGTGAACCTACTCCAATTGGAGGTGAATCTACTCCAATGTATACTGACATATGGCAGCACGATACGTGGGAATAACACGGTACGATCGTCGTTTACGTGAAAACAACCCTCTTTTCTACGTTCTCTTGCTGGATCTTTGCTTTCCTGCGCGTGGCAGTATCGCAAGATGAAGAGGGGGAGGTTCAGGCTATTTTCGGGCAAGGACTGCTGCACGGTGACGTAGTACGAGACTACGGCTGTCACCGTGGAGGGGAGTTTGAGGGGCCGGACAGGTGCCACCTGTTCCGAAGGGATATGAACAGGCGGCGGCGGAGGCTACGGTGCCGCGAGCGCTGGTGGTGGAAAGTGCCCTCTCCGGGTAATCCAAGCAGTTTCGATTGCCGACGTTCGAGAAGAAGATTGTATCTTCCTGCTACCTACGGGTGAAGAAAGGGGGCGTAAGAGTACGGTGTAAGTTGGACTTGCATGCGGCCACCGCTTCTCTTCGGGACATGGAAACAGTGGGGGTTGCCGTTGTTGGCTGTTGGGTGTCTGTACGTAAGCAATCTGGTGGTAAAAGCTTCTATTGAAAACTGACTTGGCAAGAACAAACGCCGCATACAGTGCTTCTCCGTCGAGATAGAGGATTGTTGGCAATAAAGGCGTCCTCACTGATTCGGTGGACTGCGGGTCGGCTGTCGTGTCAAACTTACGTGGGATGGGTTACTGGGTTTCCCGCGAAGAATATCCCTTTGATTGCAAGCGGCTTGGTAGTATCATTGGTGGGTCGCCCACGAACCCGAGCTTTAGAAGACCATCCTGCAGGGAAAACGTAGATGGTGGAGGTGCTGTCGGAATGTGGGACAATGACCACGCCCAACTGTTGGTGTGCGGTAAATATTGGTCGCATTCGCCACTGTATGTGTACGGCGGAAGGTCAATGTGCGATCCAGTTGTTGAATAAACAAGTTGACTCCACACGATGCTGGAAGACCATGGATACAGAACAAAAGTTGCACATTGTGAGCTAACCCTAACTAGGCGGAGTCCTTCATATTGGGCGAGAACGTAGACGATAAACTATGTATATAAACGAAATGGTGTACTGTAGCGTCAAAGAAGACGGGTGGAAGTATTGTAATGTTGAGAGGTGACCTTTCCCATTGATTGGTTTCACGTTTGTTGAAGGTGAGTCCGGAGACTCAAATATGGTCAAGGTGCTTAATAGGAAGAACCTAAGTCGTTGATTGCCGCCCGCGTTTCAGGGTTGCACAGCGAGAGCATTTCATCGGGGATCCGTTGCTGCTGTTTTGGCGTTGTTTTTCGAGCCCAATCTAGCAGGACAACTTACATCGGTACTATCATGTCCGATCAAGAATAAATTAGGAAATTTTTGCGTCATCATTCGTAGTGCTTTATGTCCAATCGAGTACGGTAGGAGTAGTGCACGTTGAATAGGCAATTTTTACGAACTTCACCGCCGCCACGCAAGGATAAACACAATGCACCTTCCAGCAGGCTAGAAAAAAATTGCCCATAGAATGAGGCAAGAACTTCCATGCTGCTTCTACCCTCATCTTTATTCTGCAGCACAGCAACGACGGATGTTTCTACCCTCCTCCCGAAAACAGATGTGTCACGGCCCGCATGGCGTCCCATCCCAATGTCACAGCCCAAATTGCGTGCCATCCCAACACGTTTCCACTTGAGATGGGTTTCCCTTTTGGAGGAGCCTGTATTCTGTCGTCTCTTCAGCCTTGATGCCGGGCATGTTCATATCATCAGTCACCCCAAGACTACGGTGACATTTTCCATCAGGCAGACCAGTACTTCGTACCAGGAAGCAAAAATCTCTTAAGAGAAATTGCACGCTTGGCTGAGGCAACCTGCATTGTTGATCTTCTTCTAGCAAGAGGCAAGGCACGTGCCAACGATGTCGGTACAGTTTGGTTCGGGGAGTTTGCGGTCAGTGGAGGTCGGCTATTGTTTTCGGCCTAGGGAGGCCGTGCAAAGGCACAACCCGTTCTTTTCGCTGCTTGCCAAAAGGTTTCGGGTTTATTGTGGATCCCCTCTCCCAGATCAAGCCGTAGCCAATAAATTCATAACTGGCCGAGAAATAATGCAAGGAAAGAACAACAACCTATTATTCCATCTTCTTCGTCTCGAAGGTTGGGCTGCCACAGAATATTTGTTGGCTAGTCGACACAATCAATCATCATCGTTGTCAGCTGGCGAGAACGGACTAGACCGGGGCGTCTTTTTTTCCAGATGTCGGCAGTCATTTGACTTCCGGTTGACCGCTCGGCGACGGACCGAAGGCACGAGGTAGCCAGCTTTGCCACGGGCTACACCAGACTGTTCGTAGCACGTCCTTTACAGCAGCTGCTTCGGCCAACCCCGCTGCATTCGGTTGGGTATAAGGCGGACAGCGGCCCGTCTTTTCAGCCGGGAACGAGAGGGGACAGCGGACTGCGCTATGCTGCTGCTAGCCCCGCTACCAACGGAATGTACTCCTATGTTTTGTCGGTCGCATCAGACACAGAGGCAGCGTGTGAGCGCTGGTACTGCACAACATTTCTTTCCTTCTGCCCGTCGGCCATCTCGCCCGCACCAACCCTTCCCAGGATATGTCCGCCGGCCGCAGCCCGCATGCGAACGGCCGAGTATGAGTATTTTCCTCTCCTGTGAATATCCCCCATCACTATGCGACACAAGCGCTTGCTGCAGACCCAGTACCCCAGTGTGGGCACCGAGCGTTTCGATGGCAACAAGAAGAGAGTGAGTTTGGTTGTGCGGGAAAGACGGAAGGGATCCAAGAGGCTTCCCTAACAAGTATTGATATGCCTCGGTTGTTCCTCTTGCCTGCCTACCCTCGCCCCGCAGGGCGTTGCCTCCGACAAACCAATGTAGCACTGCCGAAGCGCTACATGTACCTGTTTCTACGCTGTGTGCCAGCCAGCGCATGCTCAGATGCAGGAGTAGACATTGGCGCTGTGTTGTCAACAGATATGGGAGAAGACAGGGGTAACATGAAGGGCAGATGCAGCGCGTCCAAAACCGGACAACAGACACGTGGCAGACACCAGATGCCGAAGCATGCTTTGGGGGTATTGTTGCGCCCATTTGCGGTTTCCGCACCACAGACCTGCACCCTGCACCTACATCGCTGCACTGCTGCACCAGTGCACCAGACCAGACACCAGATCTCACACATCACACAGCAGTATCGAGGAAGTTCCACCGCGAACCTGTGGTTCGTTTTCCGAACCGAACATGCGGAGGTTGCTTCACATCTCAGCTTCTCGGCACGTCACATTGTCACGTTGTCGCGTCGCTCCGACTCCCTCGCGGATGTTACTAGTCTCGTTGGCAGCAATTCTGTGCTGTGAGCGGTGGCGGTGGAACAAAGAAACTGCTCCTCCCGCCCCCTCCCAGTTCTCTACGTCTTTTTGGCCGTAAGGCGAACCGATGGCGATCGAAATGCCTGATGATGGGGACCGCCGTAGTGCAGCTCTCCTCATCTCAAGCGCAGCGCACTGGCTTGAGTTTCTCCCAGCTGAGGGCGTCGCTATGTGCTGTGGGGTTTGTGCAGGTTTAAGGCAGGTATGTCGACGTTGCTGTCTTTGTTCTTTGCACGCTTTGAAATCATTCAGAGATGCATGGACAGGGCTAGACAATGTGTAGGTAAGGTCCGTCGTCATTACCACCCCCGGCTCGTCGCTCACGTTTTCCTTGTGGTTGTTTTCAACGCTTGAAACATGTGCCTCTCCACTACTGCTGTGCACTTTGGTCCGTGCACTTAGTACCGCGTGCCTGGACCCAGTCGGCCCAAGAGGGAGTATGCATCATCTGGCTGATACGCTGAAGCTATGATAATGAGTTTGCTACAACTGACAGGAGGGCATGTGCCAGGAGTATTCTATGCATGCATAGTCGGGTAGGGTGGGCTACCTTGTTCATGGGGCCAGTGTTCCGGTGCTGTCGAAACCTTCCTACTACTAATGTTCATCTTACCACTTCCTGCTATACATCAGTGTACCACCTACTCCCCACAGGGCTGGTTCTTGGATACATATCCTCCAGCCCCACTCTCCGAACTGTAAGAGCCGGTCGCCCCCGTGGTGCAGTCGGTAACCACTAACCATGCAGCCCGCTGTCGTGTGGAATATTATGTTCCAATACTTGGCGCGCTTCCCAGGAACGAAGATTTTCTCTCACGCCACGCCCATACAGTATACAGTGAAGGGCGATTCGGTCTTGGATCCGCAAAAACTGACTTGATTGCTGTAGACGAGGGAAAGGATCGTGAACGCTCTCGCCGCATGTGACGATTAGACTATATAGGACAAGCGCTGCCGACGTAAGACGGCCAAAATATGACTCGTGTGTGGCCGTCATCCTGATGACCCCACCTGGCGGGTTTAAACCATGCCAAACGTGTAATAACCGACGGCATCACCCATCGGAATGCCGGTACAGGCCGCGCAGGAGGATAGATTGTGGAAGGACCTGTGTCACCGGAGATGGCGCCGGGTCAACGTCGACGTTGCCCGCCCCAACAACAGGACGTGTGACGGCGGCGGCGGCGTCATCGGGGGGCATCAGGCTGCGTACGCGTCGCTCAACGGCTGGCGCGACCCAACGAACAGACTGAGGCGCACAATCCTGTCCACTGCTCCGAACGATGCTGTGGTGAGTACGTATTCGGGGAAGTGAGTAGGGGTGCGCGCCGCACACGGGTGATTATCCAAGGAGAGAAGAGAGAAGGAGACTCCGTTGGGGGCGGATGACATGTTTTTTTTGGTGGAAGCCCTCGAGATCCTGGTCAAAGGGCACACCACGGACTGGCACTTGTCGAGCGCGATGCGCCCGCTCTTGTGCCGGCAAGCGACCATGTACACAATCCAGCAAGAATCTAGTCCGGTTGGTAGTCACACCACAGACTCCACCTGTCAAGGGTTCTGCGCTTCTGTTGCACCGTCAAGCGACGATGGGACAAAATCCAGCAAGAATCTAGTCCGGTTGGTAGTCACACCACAGACTCCACCTGTCAAGGGTTCTGGGCTTCTCTTGCGCCGCCAAGCGACCATGCACAAATCCAGAAAGAATTTCTAGCCGGCAGTCAACGCTGGGTTTTTGCGGTGGTTGCGTCAAATCGTTGTTGACCGTGGCCAGTGGTGGAAAGGAGTCAGAAATGCGGGTTCCCTTCCCTCTGCCGTTCCTCCTGTCAGAGACATTATTTTCAGAGTCCAACACTCTGTTTCGTTGCGGTCTTTCTCCCCCATCCCCGTTTCGGAGCGTTTCCCAAGTGAAGCAATCCGTTGCCTCAGACTGAGTCATTGGATATTCCCGACCTTGCGACCCCTGCCGGCCTCCACCGCCCCCCTCTTCCCTTTATGCCCTCGAGACCGGACGACGATTTACCCGAGGGGCTCAAGCGGCGGCCCCCGGAGTTGGACATGTGAGTTTCGAGTTTTCCATGAGATCAAGAGCAGGTCCATCATGCATGGGAGGTTTGCCGGCCAAAAATTATAGAGGCTTGACGGATTTGTAGTTCATGGTGTGCTGTCGTTTGACGCCGCCACCACCATCACAATGAAGATGATGAACACTTTGAAAAATAACGGTCACGATGCGGCAGGCGACGAACATCTCCGGCATGGACGTCGGCCTTCGTCGAGTCGTCGTTTGCTCCGCCGACTTCGCCTGGTACTACAACGTGCGGCAAGGCTCGAACACGTCGAGACAACGACGGCAGCAACCCCGAGACGCAACCAGCGGTAGTGCCAGTATTGACAGCAGTGGAGGCGGTGGCCAAAACGGCGGAGGGGGTGCCGCCGAATCAATCGTCGAGTCTTTGTCGGGCGCTGCGGGGTCATCTCGCACGCTACGGGGTTTCCAGCTGCCGTCGTCTGGCGTTGCAGAGGCGAGGTTCTCGGGGGACGGAGAGCGATGCTTCTTCGGCACTGTCTCAGGCCACATCTTCGTCGTGAGTGGAATTGGGCGGGGTCTCCTGGTAGCTTGCTAACCTTGATCACATTCCGTGGCCTATTCTCCCTACATGCTGTCCTAAATGAATATGTTCGTGTACATAATGTGTCAACAGAGTATTGCACGGTCTGTTTTTTTTCTGTTTATTTGTGCCGGTTATCGGCGTTTCGCGTGTGCTGGCACTCCTTTAGTTTGCTTTTTCCTTGCTGCTTTTTTATCACTCTCTTTCTCTCGGACGTGTGCTTTTTCTTTGCCAACCTTCTTGCTCTCCTAGTTTCTCGGCTCTTGACGACGCTGTTTCTCACCCCTATTCGCCAGCACGNCGCTTCTGTTGCACCGTCAAGCGACGATGGGACAAAATCCAGCAAGAATCTAGTCCGGTTGGTAGTCACACCACAGACTCCACCTGTCAAGGGTTCTGGGCTTCTCTTGCGCCGCCAAGCGACCATGCACAAATCCAGAAAGAATTTCTAGCCGGCAGTCAACGCTGGGTTTTTGCGGTGGTTGCGTCAAATCGTTGTTGACCGTGGCCAGTGGTGGAAAGGAGTCAGAAATGCGGGTTCCCTTCCCTCTGCCGTTCCTCCTGTCAGAGACATTATTTTCAGAGTCCAACACTCTGTTTCGTTGCGGTCTTTCTCCCCCATCCCCGTTTCGGAGCGTTTCCCAAGTGAAGCAATCCGTTGCCTCAGACTGAGTCATTGGATATTCCCGACCTTGCGACCCCTGCCGGCCTCCACCGCCCCCCTCTTCCCTTTATGCCCTCGAGACCGGACGACGATTTACCCGAGGGGCTCAAGCGGCGGCCCCCGGAGTTGGACATGTGAGTTTCGAGTTTTCCATGAGATCAAGAGCAGGTCCATCATGCATGGGAGGTTTGCCGGCCAAAAATTATAGAGGCTTGACGGATTTGTAGTTCATGGTGTGCTGTCGTTTGACGCCGCCACCACCATCACAATGAAGATGATGAACACTTTGAAAAATAACGGTCACGATGCGGCAGGCGACGAACATCTCCGGCATGGACGTCGGCCTTCGTCGAGTCGTCGTTTGCTCCGCCGACTTCGCCTGGTACTACAACGTGCGGCAAGGCTCGAACACGTCGAGACAACGACGGCAGCAACCCCGAGACGCAACCAGCGGTAGTGCCAGTATTGACAGCAGTGGAGGCGGTGGCCAAAACGGCGGAGGGGGTGCCGCCGAATCAATCGTCGAGTCTTTGTCGGGCGCTGCGGGGTCATCTCGCACGCTACGGGGTTTCCAGCTGCCGTCGTCTGGCGTTGCAGAGGCGAGGTTCTCGGGGGACGGAGAGCGATGCTTCTTCGGCACTGTCTCAGGCCACATCTTCGTCGTGAGTGGAATTGGGCGGGGTCTCCTGGTAGCTTGCTAACCTTGATCACATTCCGTGGCCTATTCTCCCTACATGCTGTCCTAAATGAATATGTTCGTGTACATAATGTGTCAACAGAGTATTGCACGGTCTGTTTTTTTTCTGTTTATTTGTGCCGGTTATCGGCGTTTCGCGTGTGCTGGCACTCCTTTAGTTTGCTTTTTCCTTGCTGCTTTTTTATCACTCTCTTTCTCTCGGACGTGTGCTTTTTCTTTGCCAACCTTCTTGCTCTCCTAGTTTCTCGGCTCTTGACGACGCTGTTTCTCACCCCTATTCGCCAGCACGAATGTGGTGGTGACGACGACGATAAGGATAGCAAGAGACACCGATTTTCCGAGACTATCGAGCCTTGGACACCGACCCTGGCGCTTTCGAGTCCCACAGGAAACCCTGTCGCCGTAAGACAGGTATGATCCTTTTCGCGATTTGGCTCTGGCTTGAATCGAAAAGCATAGGTTCATTCTTTCTCCGTACACGGTGCTTGTGTATTTTGCTGAAACGAAGAGTGCAACAGGGGAGACTTCAATACAACAGCGTACTCGTAGCAGTTGCGATATAGCTGCACCCTCTTTGAAATGGGTCGCTTTGTATCGAAACCGTCGCTTCGCTTCCAAACAGGTTTGTGAAGATCTCTTCCAAGCACGCCCCAAACCATGCGCCGCGTCCACGGATGTCCCACGGCCGTTTCATTCGCAAATCGACCTTCAGAATACTCGTCAAATGCCCACTGTATGCTGCGTTCCCATGCCAGGTGGAGGCGAGATTCGAGGGCGGGTGCCCAGGGGGATCGCGGCTAGGAGTGTTGTGCCGACCCACTTTGGTATGGCAGCCGAATCTAGAGGGATCGGGCGAGGGGGGCTACCTGTTCCTCGTCGACACCCAAGCGCAGGCGGTCACGCGGCAGATGAACCTGGGAGGTGGCAGTCTCGGGGCAAGTATGCAGGCACAACTGGGTTTAGATGCATGTTTCTACTGGGCGTGTTTGCTCCACAAGTATTAGCATTGCCCGTGCTAAACGACTGAGGAGAGGGAAATATCGTTAAAATGTGTCTTTTGTGTGTACATTTGTAGAGATTTTCGTAAGAGCTTGAGGGGTCTCACGCACTCTTGACCCGAAATTTCACAGCTCGATTGATCCGCCACCAAGAGGCCGCCAGTGCCGAAAACGGCTGCGTTGAGAAGGTTTCATACAATACAGTACTCGGTCGATCTCCGGAGAATCCCTCGTTGAGGTGTTGAGGAGCCGTCGAGCTTTGAAAGTCAATCCAGCAGATGTCCGAAATCATCCACTTTGACGGTATTTGTTCCTCATGGCCGGCGCTGACGGGATGACCACCGAAAATGATCTACTTGCCGCGGCGGGGGTGAACCGAACGATTTATGTGGTCGATGTGTAATTGTGTTCTGAGCGCATGGAGACGTAAGCTAGACGCCCCAACTCCCCCACCCGCTCAACAGGGATTGACATTCCCGACCATGGAGCGCGGGGGAGCGGCGGTAAGCATGGCCCCGCTCTCCTCCGAAGGCATGCCTTGCTCCAATGGCAGCGGCGAACTCTTCGCCGTCGGGTTCGGCGGGGGTACCGTCGCTGTTTTTGACGCCCGGTGCCACGAGGGCGGCGGGATGGTGGGCGGGTTCATTACGAGGCATCGGTGGCTGAAGCGGCTGCGAAGTGCCGGGCCATTGCTCATGGCCTCCTACGGGAGGTGAGGAAGAATGACAGGGAAAACGCACGCGTGGGGGGGCGGGGGCCAGTAGAACTGACGCTCGGTCTTGCTTTTGCCGAGGTCTTGGTCAAGATGTCGAGTCTCGAGTGCATGCTACTGGCAGACGCACCACCCTAATTCCTTCCTCAATAGCTGGGGTTGCTCTCTGCATGCGTGCCAAGTGGTTGTGCTCACTCTCACCCACGGCCGTAGTGTTTAGGCTGAGGTATAATTGCCGAGGTTGGCGGATATTCTTATCTCAGCCCGTGGCGCTAGCTATGGGCTTGGCCATCGTTGTACTGACGTGGCGTACAGCCACTGCTGTGGTGTCGCCCAGCAAACAAGAACGTTTTGTTGGGTACTTTCTACGACTGGGGCGCCGTCGTCGTATGGACTAGTGGCTGGCGTGTTTGCGCTATCCTTGCCAATTGGCAACCCTCAATCCGCTTGCACCTCTCTCCGCACGTCCCTCATCCGCTTTTTTTGTCTCCTTAAACAGCCGTTGCTATTTTTGTGTCCAACACATTCCCTTCAAACAGCCAATAAATCTCCATCAACGCCCTGCTCGCGAACGTCTTGTGCAGAACAAAGAACATCGAAACCTGGGACATGCGAAGGCTGCCGTACCGGCCTACGCACGACCCCCCCCCCAGCTTGTCGTTACCCCGCCTGCGCGCCCCGCCGTGCCTCGCCGGCCTTGCGTGCCCGGCAAACTCGCCGGACTTTTGGGTGGAGCCGCACGGCCTCTGCGTAGCAGTGCACGGGGCTCCCAGACACAGCCAGCGTTTCGGTGCAAAGCACGCCTTCTGGCCTTGGCCTAGACAGGCCGGCAGCGTGGCAACGGTCTCTACAGATCCCGCCGCGCCCGCGTGCTCGGCAAGGGGGGGTGGCGGAGGAGTTGAGATTCCTGGAAGGTGTGTCGTGGTTCCCGGTGTGGTGAACGACTCGGGTTACCGGATGTGTCTGTCGACCGGGGTCAAGTTCACCGACACGCACATGGCCACGGTGCTCGACTCTTCTAGGGTGTTGGTCGACGAGATATCGGCGATGCCGAGAGTCGCTCGCGGGTCCGGTGATCGCGAGGGGGCAGACGTGACGTCACTGTTTCTCGCTGCTTGAGTTGAAGTATGGAGCGACCGCAGTGCGGAGAAAATGCAAATTGTGTTTTCTGTTCGCTGCGTTTATGTAGAGCCAACCCAGACGTCGCTTTCGTTTGGAGACTCTTTCAATGTGCTGTATCTATTTGCCGATGGTATCATGCATACCGACGATAAAATGTTTGGGATTCATGTCGCTCTTTCTCCCGTCTATCCAGCTGGATGCTGTATTTTTTTTGGGTGTCCTGCGTGGTCGTATAGTACTACCGTCCTCTATCCATGGACAATCGCACACATTCCACACGATATCTCTGCCTTTGGTGACAGCATATGACCGTAAACACAAAGGCGCCGCATGCTACCGCCGCGAACGCAATAACAGAGCATACGCAGCGCGATTTGCCGACTACTGTACTGTACCGAAAACGAACGTAACAACAGATCAATCACAACACACGACAAACCGCACCCGTTATTCCTCGAACACACGATTCCCAATACCAGACGCGCGAAAGACAGAAACCACGATGCCCACAAAACCGCGTTCAACATGCGCCTGAACAGAGATGCACCTCGACAAATCGCGCTTGCTGCCTAAACCGAGGTTTTGACAAGAACACCCTTGACGGAAGACTCACCGCAACTATTGCCCACGGTCTTCTAGGAATACGACACAAAGAAAACGAGTACAGCAGTAGTCTACATGCAACGACACCACCCTTCTCCAAAAGGCGCCAACTAGTCCCGCAGAAAATGCCGATGAGCAGACCGATTGGTTCAAAACCCTGTCCCTGCTACATGCGTCGTCCGAATTTCGGTGGTTCCCCTCCCCCTTCCAAACGCAGGGTTAAGGTCATCCTTAGTGTTATGCGAGGTGCCTTGATGGAAAAAGGTAAATTTATCAACTCCATTACCGCCGACCGACTGTAACGGAGAAACATTTGGCACACGGAATGCTTCCCCCCCAAAAAAAACAAGAGCTCGTTTCCGCTGCCCGGTTTCGTCCGGGTGCTTGTGGGCCGCATTTCCTACTCTGAAGGGGGCCAGAGCAGCCAGGTAGCTTGCCCTGTACCAACGGCAGAGACTGTCTTCACCGACAAACCGTCACAACTTACGTACGTGCTAGCGAGAGGCTACGCTTTTAGCGGGAAGGGTTGGCCTTCAACAACCACGGCGAATCCGCACCGTTAGATTTCGCTGTCCCTCCCCTTTCGTTCGACGCTAGTCGCACCAGGGAAACATCCCACTGCCGGGTACGAGGAAGCTCGATACATTCCGATCTCACACTCGCGGAAAATGCACAAGGTCGCGCACATTTTGTACCAAATACGAACTCAACCGTATATCAAACCCGTTTCATCATACGACAACAGCATATACGGCGGCTACGATTCATTGCGCGAAAACACTAGTGAGGTTACCCCCCCCCCCTTCCCCTCCCGTTCTTACCTATCTGCGACAGACTGAAAGCTCAAGCGGCCTTAGAAGTAAAGCATTCAGCGTTTTGGGATTTAGGCAACCAAGATGCCCGAAATCCTAGGTACAACAAACTGTATGTGGGAGCGAAATAAACGGAGAAAACGCAACGAGTCTCGAATTCCAACCCTCACTGAACCAATGACACGACCCAGCTAGAACCACCTAGGCTCCGGGATCTTACTCATTGCTTCTGAGGGCGCCATCTTGTCCCCCGACGCCGCCCCATCCTCTATGTCGACCAAGGGAGGTTTTCCTCTGCCCGGGCGAGGCTTGCCTCTTAGTACCGGCAACGGGCCCTCCTTCAGCTGCTAGTTCTTGATCGAGAGGTTCCTGGCCATCAAGCCCGCCACCGCCGGAGAAAAGAACACCCAGACGTCCCCGCCGCCCTCCGACTGCGGGGAGGGCCATCGCCCAGAACTTCCCGGAGAAGGGTCCCGATTTGAATCTGCGACCTGTCCGACAGGCGCAGACGCGTCCCCGCACATCGAGGCAGCCCGCGTCGAGTTGTGCCAAGGCCTCTCGACGGTTTCGATCGACCCGTCGTCTTCGGGCTCGAGGCAAGACTCCGAGACGATCGCGAACTGCGCCGCGTTCTTGCCAACGCTCTGGTAAAAGGATGATTGCCGCTTGGACACCATCCCCGCCACCGGTGTCTGGCTCACCATTTGGCGAGAGGGTGGACTCTGCCGGCCCCCACGGGACGCGGCGGCGCCTACGGCGTGGCCTAACGCCTCATCTTGGGAAACCGAAGCACTGGTCGGCGTCGGACCAAAAGGCTGAGGAAGGGAGGTCGACGCAGCTCCGGTCACGGAAATCTGCTGACCAGACGCCGGGGTGGTCGGTGGTCGTGGCATGCGGGGAGTGAGGCTTCCTCCGCTGTCGAACGAGACATCACTCTTTTTTTCGAAGCTAGCGCCGCCTCGTGAAACCGTCGGCGAGACGCCGAGCGCGCTCGTGCTGTCCTTTTCACTCGAAAGAATGGGCGTGGCGTTCGTTTTTCGTATCTCCAAGCTGGTGGGATGAGTGATTTTTTTACTGAAACCTTGGCGGACTTCAGCTTTAAAGTCTTCTACTACGGAGGCGAGCTTCCGGATTTCTTTTGGAACCTCCACACCAGTGCCAACCTTTCAGCGCTGGGAGAGAAAAACGGCCGATTGCAGTTGGGGGGGGTTTGCGTCGCATCATCAGCGGCAGCTTCTGCCGCCAGTACAAGGGAGGAATTGCGAACATCTTCGAAGCAGCAAATCAGTTCGGAGGTGGTGTTCCAGGAGGAGTTGAGATCGTGGCTTCCACAGCAGCCCTCAGCCACCAGCAAGGCAGCACCATTCTCTCCTTTGATGGGAAATATTTGCTTACAACAGCATGCGCAGATCTTCCATCTTGCCAGCAGTGGCCACTCATACGCCACACTTGGCGAAGTACTTCGGGAACATCTACGCTCGAACCAAGGCGAAACTTCTGTTCAAAATGGAAGATGGTTCGATCGAGGTTGTCCTTTCACAGCGCGGAGTTCAACAAGGCTGCAATTTGGGAGGGTTTGGCTTCTGTGTAGGACTTCTTGATATCATGAAAGAGTTCAACAACAAGCCACCAGTGCCAGGAGCCAAGCTCATTGGATACGTCGACGACCTCCAAGTGCATCGTCCACCAGGTTTGGCTAGAAATATTCAGGCCATCACCACCGTAACAACTGGATCCAAGACCACCTGCTGCAAAAAGGCATTGAGCTCAGCCTCCCGAAATCGAAAGTCCTTTTCCCAGAAGGATTATTCTTCTCCTCTTTGACAAACGACGAACAGCGAGATTTGACGAAAACGGGTCTCTCGGTTGCTGAAGGTGGTATGGCCATTGTTGGAGTCCCAGTAGGGACAGAGTGCTTCCAGAGGAGTTTCGTCACCAACTTCGCCCGCGGTAACCCTGCTGAGTTGATACGCCGCCTTTCCACACTTGACGACCCGCAAGCGAGCTACCAACTGCTACGTTTGTCTGGCGTTCCACGCTTGTTTCATCTGCTGAGAACGATTGCACCGAGCATTACCAACACTGCCGCAAGAGAACATGACAACCTGATGATATGGGCAGTAAGCAAGATCGTTCTCGGCAAAATGGCAAACACTGTGGGAATTCCAACCGTGGAAGAGGTACGCGCAAACCCAGAGAAGAGTGAGGTCGACTTCTTCAAAGATTCAGCTCGGGCACAGGTGCACCTGCCCATACGTGAAGGGGGGCTTGGAATTACGAGCAGTGTTCTCATTCGAGAATCGGCTTTTGTGGCAGGGCAAGCATTAGTGTTCTCCAAGTCAGTGCAGGCATCAACAGGACTCACCATTGAACAATGCCTACCGCAACTTGCACAGCTACCAACAGAATTAGCTCTGATTGACTCCCTCAAGAAACTTAAAGAGATCATCACCAAAGACAAGCTCGAAAGAGCTGTTGGTCAGTCATGG